GTTCTATTCATTCTGCTTGAGGCTGTTTGTTCATTTCCTTTCTCCATCAAAAATGCTCTGCATTTTCTCTGTCTTTTTAAAGAATAACTGTTCCCTGTTCTCTTTGACTACATCCTCTGCAATTACGGTATCTTTTTTTTATCTTTAATTATACAATATTTTTACATTCTCATTTTTTAAACAATCATTCTCTTATATGTATTTTTCTTATCCACAATCTTTCACTTCATCATTTTTTATACTCCCTGTTAGCATAATTCCACATTTGTTTGTGACAGTCTGTATCATTATTCTTTTCACTCTGTTCCAAGTAGCTACAAACAAGCCTTAGCCCTCCAGAGATTGGTTCTTCTGTTTTACAAGATCGGTCTTGTAAAAAAAAAAAAGAGAGGCAGAAATAGCAGGAATCAGAGTAGAGTATTTATGTGACCAATGGTATCAGTCTCCCCACAACTCTCAACCAAGTCTGAGGTCTTACTCTATCTTGGAGAGGCATCTTAGGATAAGCTGTAATGAAAGCAGGATAGCAGCTGTAAATCTCCTGGTCTGAAACCCAAAAATAATCCTTCTCACAATAGAGTTCCTTGAAGCAGAAAATAGCAAGGGTTCATTGGTCATTCCCCCCCCTTTTATCTGCTGTTTATCCCCCCCCCCTTTTTATCTGCTGTTTAAAAGCATACGGAGAGATTAATCTGTAGGTTTAAAAACAAAATTTAATCTTGAACAGTGAAGCATGGAAACTAAATTTTCCATTCTCCTCTGATTATTTAATTACTGAGGCTTCTCTTTTGCTGAAGTCAGGACTGTTCCATCCTCAAAAATACTTTATCAGTATTTATGTGCCATAATGTTTGGAGTATCAAATACTGCTGATGAGATTGTTAGGTTAGAATTGTTTCTGCTATTGATCCAACTAATGCAACTATAGCAGAGTGAGGCAGATCTTAGCAGTCTAGAAAGGGAATAATAATGCTATTGACAGACATGGACTAAAGAATCAGGGCAGGACTTATGTACATGGCTTTACATCACAAAGGATCACATGCATGCATTCAAACAGGACAGATTCTGTGTCCCAACTTGCAAGATTTACACAGGAACTTTGAACATGGAAACAGACAAGAATATCTGATCCAAATATTGGTGAAGGCCATACTCCTTTAGTGTACTGTAGTTACTGTAGCAAATACTGTAGTTCTCTAGAATGTCTTTTGAGGGTTCCCATATTCTGGGGTGCATAAAAATCAGACAGCAAAGCCAAATCTGTGTTTCTGGCAGGATGAAACCACAAATCATTCTGATTTGTCTCTTAGGAGTACATTTTGATCGAGCATGTCTGCTGAAACCCTGCTAGCCATAAAACAGTCCTTAACCCAGCTAGTAGGTCTGCATTAGTGAGAAGAGAAGGCACAGCAGTTTCTACTTCAACCTGGTGAGACGGGCTGGACTGGCTCTTACATAAAGTGAGTAGGCAAGTTTCCAGATCATCCCAAATTCCTAGACAAGGAATTCAAGGGACCTGTTAAAGCTGGGATTGCTCCAAAAGCTTTGCACTGGTGGGAAATAACAGCCACCACCCCAACACAGACACCTTTCTGTAGAATCTACAGAACTGTATAACCCCTGAGGATAACTTCTCTATTTCCAGCAAGAGAGTATAGAGAGAGATATGCCCGCTTCACTGCACGCTCATCAGAGCCACACACCTGGGCAGGAAGAGGGCGCGGAGGCACCCTTTCTCAGGCTTGGGACGGGTGGCGCTCGGTGCCCGCTTAGAGCCAGGATCGTTGTTCCCCCTTTAGGCCTTAAGGAGAGGCGCTGTACGGAGACCGGCTCTCAGCGTTTGCAGAGTCTGAGCTACCTTCCCGGCGGTCGCCTGGTCGGTTTAGTTCGGGAGCTCACCTGCTCGCTTGCGCGGGTTTCCCGGGGTGATCGGCCCCTCTCTGCGCTGTCTTCCCACGCAGCTGCCCATGGCAGAAGTCCCAGGGTGCAACTTCAAAGGACCGACGTGCCTGAGCCCCGCTCAGGGCTCTCTCGCTCCGCATGAGGCAAGATCCCAGTTCGCCCTCCGGACGCACAAACTTTGTGAGACGCGGTGCGGGTTTTTTCCTCCTCCTCCGCACTTCAAATCCTCGGGTTTTCCTTGCAAAAAAAAAGAGGAAGCCCGCAAGCAGGCTCCGTCCCTCACGAAGCGAGATCCGTACCAGGCAGGCCCAGGGATCGGTCGTTACAGCACTACAACCGCCACCCTGCCAGAGACCCGGAGCTCTGAGCCGGGATGAGCCCCGCGGCCCTGGGAGACACTTCTGGGCTCCTCCCACTCCAGGTGAGCATGTGACTCGGCGGCCGGAGCTCAAGCCCCGCCCCGCCGCCTCCTCTCCGCCAGGAAGCGTATAGTCCGTGACCCTGGCCTTAATTCCAGCGGGCGAGACGGGGCCGCGGAGAGAGGATGGCAACGGAGGAACATTATGGTAGTTCCAAAGCAGGGTGACTAGTTATCAACTGCATCCTTCCAAACTCCTCCTAAGAGGACTTTTTAACCCCCGAACGAGAATACAGGCGAGTTAAGGTGAAATCGGCATTTCCCTCCCAAATGCCAAAATACTGAAACGGGATTTCCCGGAGCTACGAGACGCACCGAATCACTAGCCTCATTTTAGCTTATACAATGATGTTACAGTCGGCCTATATGGTTATTCAGTGTGTCGTGTAAATCAATAGCATCGCTTTGAATAAACAATTCTCAGCAGGGGGCAGCAGCTCACTGATTTGTTTGAATTGGGGAAGCTAAACCAAACCCAATCTGGTTAGTGCTTGGCTAGGAGATTACCGGAGAATTCCAGGTTGGTAGGTCAGCGTCCTGAGAGAAAACAACAACAAACCACTTCCATACACTTGCTAAGAAAATCACATAACTGTGTGAGTTCACTTATGGTTCAGCTAATAATGTATAAATACATACATGATAGTGAAAGGGCTCCAACTACCTCCTTGGTACCTGTCCCTTTTGTGGATGGAATTTCATTTGGTAACTGTTTCTCAACCTTTACAACTTTAAAATATGTGGATATTCCATTGACTGGGGAATTCTAGAAGCTGAAGTCCACACATCTTAGTTGTGAAAGTTGACAAAGGGTGATCCAATTGATGCCACAGTTCTTTCATCTTTCAAATCTTTTTTTAAAAAGAAAAATGTTTTATGAGATATTTAACTGTTTAGTTGATTCCCTTCCTATGTTTACAATGAACAGCAAACACTGTCCGTGGAAGCCTAGGCACACCTAATTCAATACTATTGGTGCTACCAATTTGCATTGTGTCTCCTGAATTTCAGAATTTTTGCCCATTGTTTTATGTTTCCAAAACAAAACATATGCATGCATAGTTCTATTTAAGCAATTAACTGAGAATAAATTTAAAAACAATATTCTGGTAGAAGACACTCATCGGAGCCACTCTTTCGTATTGCATCCAAGACAACTGCATGAATATATTCATGAAATCACCAGGAATTAAGCACAATTCAAAGGCAGTGCTTTCTTTTTCTTGCCTTTTTAAAAATGTTCAGCTATCTCCATCTCAATTTACTCTATAGTTAAGAGTTTTCTTTCCTACCTATGATAATTCACTGATCTCATTTCTATCTTATACACCCATTCAGAATTGATACACAGAAACGCTGAATTAAAACAGTTGCTTGCATTTGCACAGCTCATTGCTCAGACAAAAGTTGGCCCTAAATAGTGGCTCAACATATCATGGGAACTAGCTCATATAGTTAGCTTATAGTTCTGTGGATTTTGCAAGCTCAGTTAGATTTGATAAAATATTATTCAAGAACCATATCTTAGAATAATGTAGAAACAGCGTCACTGAACCATAAAGAAACAAATTCAGCTACTTTCTTAAAATACACTTAGCTAGATTGTGACTTGCTACTTTGCTTTCAACATGTCCTGTGAACACAGAGAAAAAAATAAGTTCCTTGGCTTCTGTGCAAAATTGATGGCTGCAATGCTTAACTCTGTTCCTGGTAGAAATGAGAGACCTGGTTCCTTAAAAAAAGATTCAAGTCAAACTCCATTCCAGATCACTGCATAAAAATGACCAAGCACTTTTTTGGGGGTGTAAGTCTTAATAGTATGGAAGTAATTTGATCTTTGGGGATATTTTTTCAGCTTCTCTAATTAGCTTACAGCCCCCAGATTTCCTGGTGAATTCCCAAGAACAAGGCTATTCCTACCGAGCTTCAGAGGCTAAAGTTGATCCAATGTTACCAGATGCTGAGGAATCATGGCTTCCTCACTTTCATTGGTTTGCATGATACGCTGAAGCCAAAGGGCACGGTACCTGATGCTAAAATGTGGTTGGCAAGTTCTTCAAGAATAGCCAAATGTTGTTTGAGCTGGATCAGTGATCCAAGTTTTGGGGGACTATCAAAAGCAATTTAGTCTGTTTCCCAGCTTTGATTAAAACACAGGCTTGCCTGACATTTTGAGCTATTCAACATGAAAAACATAAAAAATATAGTCACTATTTCTTAGGCCTGTACAACCACTTCTAATAACAAAATCATATAAAGCATATTTCTTGTTTATATTTTAGATTGGCAAGCGAATAAAGAGACGCGGGTCGTCTGGATATTCTGAAATGACTTCCGATTTTTCTTACACAGATTCCCATCTTGTTCCAAAATTAGTATCGTAGGAAATAAAATATCTATGATTTGCACATTATTTGCATTCTCTTTAAGCAAGAGGATAAGCTTCTTACCCTCCATAACCTTAACCTTAACGCATACTCTGCCCTTCGGCTTCGTTGGCACAACCTCGGCCGGCAGACCCGCCTAGAAACTCGCGCCGCTATTTTTGCCAATCGCTGGAGGGAGTTTTTTTAACGTGATAGAAGTTTACCTCGGTACACGTGACAGGGAGACGCGCACGCGCGGTTGCTGCTTCTTGCCTCCCCCCCCTTTATTTTTTTCTTCTTCTCAGGTTATCATGGCGGCCGGAGGGGCTCACGTTGCCATAGGAAAACCTGCCTCCCTGTTACAGGAGTGGGAATGGGAAAACGCGGCCAGGCAGGCGGCGGAAGGTATGGTCAGGGAATGGGTGTGAATAGAAATGGCATGGAAATGAGCACGCGTGTTTCTGCAGTGCATGCAGAAAACGAGATTTGTAGGGCAAGAAGCTTTGAAATAAATGGTGAATAACGTGGAAAGGAAGGCAAGATGATCGGGGTTAGATCAGGAGAAAAGGGAGAAATGCTAAAGTTAGGTCTGTGGGTGAAGAGCCGCCTTGGGAAATTATGGTCAGTAGTGTAGTTCAATGGTACCCTTACGAATAAATTAATCCTGGGGTTTATAAAGTGGCTTTCTGCCATTTCTAGTAATTGCGTTTTATTCGCCTCTATATGGGACCCCAGCAGTTATAATCGGTTGAAGTTAGGCACAAGCAAGGTGTTCGTTTATAAGGTGGAGCAATTAGTCTTGCAGGGTATGGCACGTGTTGTTTTTGGTAAAGGAAAAAAAACAACAACCGAATAAAGAGTTTTTCGTTTATTCCCCGACTTGATTTTCTTTGGAACTATACATGAACGGGGGAGATGAGGTTTGAAAAAAAAGGATAAAGAAGACTCACGTAAATATTGTTGACATATTATCATAAAGCTGTTCGTTAGGAAAAATGGTTTCATTTTCATGTGGTGTAGCATTCTCTGAAATACATAATGGAAAGGAGATTGCATGAAGGATTCCTTTTAGCATTTGGCCAAGTGGACAGATGCAGTCTACTGTGTATTTTATTGTTTAGGTAAGGCTGGAATAGCAATAGCAGTAGACTTATATATTGCTTCATAGGGCTTTCAGCCCTCTCTAAGCGGTTTACAGAGAGTCAGCATATTGCCCCCAACAATCTGGGTCCTCATTTTACCCACCACGGAAGGATGGAAGGCTGAGTCAACCCTGAGCTGGTGGGATTTGAACAGCTGAACTAGCAGTCAGCTGAAGTA